AGGATGGAGCATCAAGGGAGGATAGAGCAGTAGGGTAGGATGGAGCATCTAGGGAGGATAGAGCAGTAGGGTAGGATGGAGCATCAAGGGAGGATAGAGCAGTAGGGTAGCATGGAGCATCTAGGGAGGATAGAGCAGTAGGGTAGGATGGAGCATCAAGGGAGGATAGAGCAGTAGGGTAGGGTAGAGCTGAAGGGTAGGGTAGAGTAGCAGGGTAAAGTAGAGCAACAGAGTAGGGTAGAGCAGCAGGGTAGGGTAGAGCAGCAGGGTAAAGTAGAGCAACAGAGTAGGGTAGAGCAGCAGGGTAGGGTAGAGGCAGGTAGGGTAAAAGCATGATAGGAGAACAGCGGAAGGTATAGCAGAAGTGTAGGATATAGCAGCAGGGTACAACAGCAGGGTAGGATATAGCAGCAGGGTACAACAGCAGGGTAGGATATAGCAGCAGGGTAGGTTATAGCAATAGGGTAAGGTATAACAGCAGGATAGGGTAGAACAGCAGGGTAGGATATAGCAGCAGGGTAGGGTATAGCAGCAGGGTAGGGTATAGCAGCAGGGTAGGGTATAGCAGTAGGGTAAGGTATAGCAGCAGGGTAGGGTAGAACAGCAGGGAAGGGTATAGCAGAAGGGTAGGATATAGCAGCAGGGCAGGGTATAACAGCAGGGTAGGATATAGCAGCAGGTAGGTATAGCACGTAGTATAGCATCAGGGTAGGGTATAGCAGCAGGGTAGGGTATAGCAGCAGAGCAGGTATACAGCAGGTAGGGTATAGCAGCAGATGGTAGAACAGCAGGGAAGGGTATAGCAGCAGGGTAGGTTAGAACACCAGGTTAGTGTACAACAGCAGGGTAGGATATAGGAGCAGAGTAGGGTATAGCAGCAGGGTAGGGTATAGCAGCAAGGTAGGGTATAGCAGCATGATAGGGTAGAACAGCAGGGAAGGGTATAGCAGAAGGGTAGAATATAGCAGCAGGGTAGGATACAGCAGCAGGGTAGGTTATAGCAGTAGGGTGAGGTATAGCAGCAGGATATGGTAGAACAGCAGGGAAGGGTATAGCAGAAGGGTAGGATATAGCAGCAGGGCAGGGTATAACAGCAGGGTAGGATATAGCAGTAGGGTAGGGTATAGCAGCAGGGTAGGGTATAGCAGCAGGGTAGGGTATAGCAGTAGAGCAGGGTATAACAGCAGGGTAGGGTACAGCAGCAGGATGGGTAGAACAGCAGGGAAGGGTATAGCAGCAGGGTAGGTTAGAACACCAGGTTAGTGTACAACAGCAGGGTAGGATATAGGAGCAGGGTAGGGTATAGCAGCAGGGTAGGGTATAGCAGCAAGGTAGGGTATAGTAGCAGAGCAGGGTATAACAGCAGAGTAGGATATAGCAGCAGGGTAGGGTATAGCAGCAGGATAGGGTAACGTAGAAGGGTAGGGCAGAGTAGCAAGGAATGGTAGAGTAGCAGAGTTGGGTAGAACAGCAGGGTAGGGTAGAGTAGCAGGGTAGAATACAACAGCACGGATGGGTAAAGTAAAGTAAGGTAGAACAGCAGATTAGGGAGTAGCAGCAGGTAGAACATCAGCGTAGGGTAGAACAGCAGTGCAGGGTAACGTAGCAGGGTAGGATAGAACAGCAGGGTAGGATATAGCAGCAGGGTAAGGCATAGCAGCAGGGTAGGGTAACGTAGAAGGGTAGGGCAGAGTAGCAGGGTAGGGTAACGTAGAAGGGTAGGGCAGAGTAGCAGGAAGGTAGAGTACACCAGCAGGGTTGATTACAGCAGCAGGGTAGGATACAGCAGCAGAGTAGGGTACAGCAAGAGGGTAGAGTACAGCAGCATGGTAGGGTACAGCAGCAGGGTAGGGTACAGCAGCAGAGTAGGGTACAGCAACAGGGTAGGGTACAGCAACAGTGTACAGTACCGCAGCAGGGTAGAGTACAGCAGCATGGTAGAGTGCAGCAGTAGCGTAGGGTACAGCAGCAGGGTAGAGTACAGAAGCAGAGTAGCATACAGCAGCAGGGTAGGGTAGAGCAGCAGCGTAGGGTACAGCAGCAAGGTAGGGTACAGCAGCAGGGTAGGATACAGCAGCAGGGTAGGGAACAGCAGTAGGATATTGTACAGCAGCAGGATGGAGTACAACAGCAGGGTAAGGTAGAGCAGCAGGGTAGAGTACAGCAGCATGGTAAGGTACAGTAGCAGTGTAGGATACAGCATCAGGCTAGGGTAGAGCTGCAGGGTAGAGTACAGCAGAAGGGTAGGGTAGAGAAGCAGGGCAGGATACAGCAGGAGGGTAGGGTCAAGCAACAAGGTAGGGTAGAATAGCAAGGTTGAGCAACAGGGCAGGGTATAGCAGCAAGATAGGATACAGGAACAGGGTAGGGTACAGCAGCAGGGTAGGGTACTGTACAGGAGCAGGGTGGGTTATAACAGCATGGTAGGTTATAGCAGCATGGTAGGGTATAGCTGCAGGGTAGGGTAGAAGAGCAGGGTAGGGTAGAGCAGCAGGGTAGCGTATAGCAGCAGGGTAGGATATAGCAGCAGGGTAGGATATAGTAGCAGGGTAGGGTACAACAGTAGGGTAGGGTATAGCAACAGGGTTGGATATAGCAGGAGGGTATTGTGCAGCAGCAAGGTAGGGTAGAGCTGCAGGGTAAGGTACAGCAGCAGGGTAGTGTATAGCAGCAGGGTAGGATATAACAGCAGAGTAGGGTGCAGCAGCAGGGTAGGGTAGATCAACATGGTAGGGCATAAAAGCAGGGTAGGCTATAGAAGCAGAGTAGGGTACAGCATCAGGGTAGGGTATAGCATCAGGGTAGGGTATAGCAGCAGGGTAGGGTATAGCAGCAGGGTAGGGTATAGCAGCAGGGTAGGGTATAGCAGCAGGGTAGGGTAGAACAGCAGAGCAGGGTCCAGCAGCTGGGCAGGGTCCAGCAGCAGGGTAGGATATAGCAGCATGGTAGGGTAGGGCATCATGGTAGGGTATAGTAGCAGGGTAGGGTATAGTTTCAGAGTAGGGTATAGTAGCAGGGTAGGGTAGAGCTGCTGGGTACGGTATAGCAGCAGGATATGGTAGAGCAGCAGGGTAGGGTATAGCAGCAATGTAGGGTATGGCTGCCGGGTAGGGTAGAGCAGCAGGGTAGAGAAGAACAGCAGGTTAGGATATAGCAACAGGGTAGGGTAGAACAGCAGGGAAGGGTATAGCAATAGCGATAGGTTAAATTAGAGCAAGAGGGTAGAGTATAGCAGCAGGGCATGGTACAGCAGCAGGGGTGGGTAAAACAGCAGAGTAAAATAGCAGGGGATAGTAGAACAGGAGGGTAGAGCAGCAGGGTAGGGCAGCAGGGTAGAGCAGCAGGGAAGGTTAGAACAGCAGGGTAGAGCAGCAAGGGAGAATAGAGCAGCAGCGGAAGGCAGCAGTGGATGACAGAACAGTAGGTTAGGGTATAGCAGCAGGGTAGGGTGCAGCAGCTGTGTAGGGTATAGCAACAGGGTAGAGTTTGGCAGCAGGGTTGGGTAGAGCAGCAGGGTAGGGTGTAGCAACAGGGAAGGGTATAGCAGCAGGGTAGGGTAGAGCAGCACGGTAGGGTAAAGAAGCAGGATAGGGTATAGCAACAGGGTAAGGTAAAGGAGCAGGGTAAGGTACAGCAGCAGGGTGGGGTAGAGCAACAGGACATGGTATAGCAGTAGGGTAGGGTAGAGCTGGAGGATAGGGTATAGCAGCAGGGTAGGGTACAGTTGCAGGGTAGGGTATAGTAGCAGGGTAGGGTATAGCAACAGGGTAGGGTATAGCTACAGGGTAGGACATAGGAACAGGGTAGAGTAGAGCTGCAAGGTAGGGAATAGCAGCAGGATAAAGTAGAGCAGCAGAGTAAGGTAGAACAGCAAGGTAGAATAGATGAGCAGTGTAGGGTAGAGCGGCAGGATATGGTATAGGAAGAGGGTAGAGTATAGCAGCAGGTAGGGTAGAGCCTCAGGGTAGGGTATAGCAGCAGGGTAGGGTATAGCCACAGGGTAGGGTATAGCAGCAGGGTAGGTTATAGTAGCAGGGTAGGGTATAGCCACAGGGTAGGGTATAAGAGCAGGGTAGGGTAGAGCAGCAGTGTAGGGTATAGCAACAGGATAGACTATAGCAGCAGGGTAAGGTAGAGCAGCAGGGTGGGGTAGAATAGCAATACAGATAGATAGCGGTGTAGGGTAGAGCGGCAGGATAGGGTATAGCAGCAGGGTAGGGTAGAACAGCAGGCTAAGGTATAGCAGTAGGGTATTGTAGAGCAGCAGGGAAGAGTATAGAAGCATAATATTGTAAAGCAGCAGGGGAGGGTAAAACAGCAGAGTAGAACAGTAGGGGATGATAGAACAGAAGAATAGAGCAGAAGAGGAGGGCAACAGGGTTGGGTAGAACAGCAGGGTAGATTATAGCAGCAGGGTAAGGTAGAGCAACAGAGTAGGGTATAGCAGCAGGGTAGGGTATAGCAGCAGGGTAGGGTAGGGGAAGCATTGAGGTATAGCAGCGGGGTAGAGTATAGCAGCAGAGTAGGATATAGCAGCAGGGTAGGGTATAGCAGCAGGATAGGGTAGAGAAGCATTGAGGGTATAGCAGCGGGGTAGAGTATAGCAGCAGAGTAGGGTATAGCAGCAGGGTAGGGTAGAGCAGCAGGGTAGGGTAGAGCAGCAAGGTAGGGTAGAGCAGCAGGGTAGGGTAGAGAAGCATTGAGGGTAGAGCAGCAGGGTAGGGTAGAGCAGCAGGATAGGGTAGAGAAGCATTGAGGGTATAGCAGCAGGGTAGGGGAGAGCTGCAGGGGGGGCAAAGCAACAGAGCAGAGTAGCTGGGGAGCGTAGAACAGGAAAGCAGAGCAGCAAGGGAGGGTACAACAGCAGGGTAAAGCATCAGGGGAGGGCAGCAGGGGTGGGTAGAACAGCAGGGGAGAGTAGAGCAGCAGGGAAAGGCAGCAGGGAAGGTGCAGAACAATATTGGAGGTGCATGATGCAAGATCCATAACAGTTTGTTTACCTTTGAGATGATGAGGCGAGGGTGACGTCCCTCCTGCAAGACGAGAAATAACTCGACACTGCTTTCAAGAGTAACCTGGAGCACTGACTTAATGGTACTAAAAGCACTACTACCAGGTGCAGTAACTTCATGGAGGTGGTGCCAGAAGCTCTACTACCAGGTGCAGTGACTTCATGGAGGCGTTCCACAAGTTCTACTACGAGGTGCAGTGACTTCATGGAGGCGTTCCACAAGTTCTACTACCAGGTGCAGTGACTTCATGGAGGCGTTCCACAAGTTCTACTACCAGGTGCAGTGACTTCATGGAGGCGTTCCACAAGTTCTACTACCAGGTGCAGTGACTTCATGGAGGTGTTCCACAAGTTCTACTACCAGGTGCAGTGACTTCATGGAGGTGGTGCTGCAAGCACTATTATGAAGGTGGTGTGTAAGGCAAGAAGCCAGCAAGCGAGTGTGGAGACACAAGGTATATCAAGTGTTCATTGTAAATGACTGTTTGTTCAGTACTGAGCTTTACTGAATTCTCAGAGAAGCCTGAAACTACTGCTTAAGTATACATTGCGGTGAGATGGAGAAGCGAAGACAGGGAAGCAAGAGGTTACAGATTGCATCATGTGGGAGGGTCAGTGTCGTCTTGGCTAGCTTGCTTATTTATCAGCAGGTGTGCTGAAGATTCTGCAAGACTAACAGCGCCTTTATTCTGCGCATTAGTATTATGTACACTACAGGGGGGTACTTCCAAATTCTTCCTTCTCTCTTTCGATGAGGCTGACCTTATCCACTTGGAATTGCATTCCTCCCTAAGATTTTTCGCTGCTACAAATTCTGTATGATCGGAAGGGGAAGCCTGTGTGTATGTTAGGTTGGGTTGTAACTTCACGGAGAGAACATGATATGCATAAGGTCATCTTTGTTATTGGGTTTTTTGGTATAATCTACACTGGAATAGATGACTATGCTATAATAAGATAAACATCAAGAGAGTCTGTTCATCTTCAAGTATAAGTTGATTGGACGGTTCCGCCATGCTGTCTGTTGCCAACTTTTTCGAGGTTGAAATGTCTGGTAGTAAGGATGATTATGTCTTCAACATAGTGGAGTCAAGTGATATTATAATAATAATAATAATAATAATAATAATAATAATAATAATAATAATAATAATAATAATAATAATAATAATAATAATAATAATAATAATAATCTTTATTTCTACACGTTCATGAACAAGGTCTAGCTGACATCAATGACATACTACTATGTAGAAAGCCGCTTGTTAGGCAGAGCATTTCGGGCAAATTAGGTCAGTTTTGTCCTAGGATGCGACCCACACAAGTCGACAAACAACCAGGTACCTATTTTACTGATGGGAAACATAAACAACCGGTGTAAAGAAACACGCCCAATGTCTCTACCCTCGCCGTGTGAAGCGAGAGCCTTAGCCACCAGGCCACGGAGCACCGTATGTATATATGTGGATAATATCAGTGATAAGAAAGACATGATTGCTGATGCTATGAATGAAATGAAGTTGGATGTCCTGGCCCTAAACGAAACAAAGCTGAAGGGGGTAGGCGAGTTTCAGTGGGGAGAAATAAATGGGATTAAGTCAGGAGTAGCTGAGAGAGTTAGAGCTAAGGAAGGGGTAGCAATAATGTTGAAGGATCAGTTAAGGGAGGAAAAGAGGGAATATAAATGTGTAAATTCAAGGATTATGTGGATTAAAATAAGGGTCGGATGTGGAAAGTGGGTCATAATAAGCGTGTATGCATCTGGAGAAGAGAGGAGAGTAGAGGAGAGAGAGAGATTTTGGGAGATGTTAAGCGAATGTATAGGAACCTTTGAACCAAGTGAGAGAGTAATTGTGGTAGGGGACCTAAATGCTAAACTAGGAGAAACATTTAGAGATGGTGTGGTAGGTAAGTTTGGGGTGCCAGGTGTAAATGATATGGGAGCCCTTTGATTGAACTTTGTATAGAAATGGGTTTAGTTATAAGTAATACGTATTTTAAAAAAAAGTCCCAATATGACTCAGTTTTTAGCAAGCCGCTAACCAGACTGAGAGTCGAAGATCAAAATGAATTGTTTATGAGAGAGTCACAGAATTTGGTTAACACAAGCCTATCTGATATTATCCTGACGCCAAATGACTTCGAACTGACATGCCCATGCACTCTGCTCCAGGGCCAGAATCATGGAACTCCGTGTTCATCAAGAACTGCAAGAAGCCCCTATCACGAGCTTTCAAAGATCACCTTATGGAGAGGGAGCATGGACACGGGGGTCGTCCCACAGTTACTAAAAACAACAGACATAGCCCCACTCCACAAAGGGGGCAGTGAAGCAATAGCAAAGAACTACAGACCGATAGCACTAACATCCCATATCATAAAAATCTTTGAAAGGGTCCTAAGAAGCAAGATTGCCACCCATCTAGATACCCATCAATTACACAACCCAGGGCAACATGGGTTTAGAGCAGGTCGCTCCTGTCTGTCTCAACTACTGGATCACTACGACAAGGTCCTAGATGCACTAGAAGACAAAAAGAATGCAGATGTAATATATACAGACTTTGCAAAAGCCTTCGACAAGTATGATCATGGCGTAATAGTGCACAAAATGAGTGCTAAAGGAATAACAGGAAAAGTTGGTAGATGGATCTATAATTTCCTCACAGAGTCTGAGGCGGCTACGGTGAAAAGCTCTGTTCCACAAGGCACAGTACTCGCTCCCATCTTGTTTCTCATCCTCATATCTGACGTAGACAAGGATGTCAGCCACAGCACCGTGTCTTCCTTTGCAGATGACACCCGAATCTGCATGACAGTGTCTTCCATTGCAGACACTGCAAGGCTCCAGGCGGACATCAACCAAATCTTTCAGTGGGCTGCAGAAAACAATATGAAGTTCAACGATGAGAAATTTCAATTACTCCGATATGGTAAACATGAGGAAATTAAATCTTCATCAGAGTACAAAACAAATTCTGGCCACAAAATAGAGCGAAAAATCAACGTCAAAGACCTGGGAGTGATCATGTCGGAGGATCTCACCTTCAAGGACCATAACATTGTATCAATCGTATCTGCTAGAAAAATGACAGGATGGATAATGAGAACCTTCAAAACTAGGGATGCCAAGCCCATGATGACATTCTTCAGGTCACTTGTTCTATCTAGGCACCTTTCAAGGCAGGTGAAATTGCTGACCTAGAAAATGTACAGAGAACCTTCACGGCGTGCATTACGGAGACAAAACACCTCAATTACTTGGAGCGCTTGAAATTCCTGAACCTGTACTCCCTGGAACGCAGGCGGGAGAGATACATGATTATATACACCTGGGAAATCCTAGAAGGACTAGTACCGAACCTGCACACGAAAATCACTCACAATGAAAGCAAAAGACTCGGCAGACGATGCAACATCCCCCCAATGAAAAGCAGGGATGTCACTAGCACGTTAAGAGACAATACATTAAGTGTCAGGGGTCCGAGACTGTTCAACTGCCTCCCAGCATACATAAGGGGGATTACCAATAGATCCCTGGCTATCTTCAAGCAGGCACTGGACAAGTACCTAAAGTCGGTACCTGACCAGCAGGGCTGTGGCTCGTTACTGTGGCTGTTACTGCTGGCTGTGCAGCCAGCAGTAACAGCCTGGTTGATCAGGCTCTGATCCACCAGGAGGCCTGGTCACAGACCGGGCCGCGGGGGCGTTGACCCCCGGAACTCTCTCCAGGTAAATAAGTACACAAGATATGATGTAGGGCAAAATGACAGTAGTTTGTTGGACTGTGTATTGGTAGATAAAAGACTGTTGAGTAGACTTCAGGATGTACATGTTTATAGAAGGGCCACAGATATATCAGATCACTTTCTAGTTGTAGCTACAGTGAGAGTAAAAGGTAGATGGGATACAAGGAAAATAGAAGCAGCAAATAAGAGAGAGAGGGTGAAGGTGTATAAACTAAAAGAGGAGGCAGTTAGGGTAAGATATAAACAGCTATTGGAGAATAGACGGGCTAGTGAGAGTATAGGCAATGGGGTCGAAGATGTATGGGGTAGGTTTAAGAATGTAGTGCTAGAGTGTTCAGCAGAAGTTTGTGGTTACAGGAAAGTGGGTGCAGGAGGGAAGCAGAGCGACTGGTGGAATGATGATGTAAAGAGAGTAGTAAGGGAGAAAAAGTTAGCATATGAGAGGTTTTTACAAAGTAGAAGTGATACAAGGAGGGAAGAGTATATGGAGAGAAAAAGAGAGGTTAAGAGAGTGGTGAAGCAATGTAAAAAGAGAGCAAATGAGAGAGTGCATGAGATGTTATCAACAAATTTTGTTGAAAATAAGAAAAAGTTTTGGAGTGAGATTAATAAGTTGAGGAAGCCTAGGGAACAAATGGATTTGACAGTTAAAAATAGGAGAGGAGAGTTATTAAATGGAGAGTTAGAGGTATTGGGAAGATGGAGGGAATGTTTCGAGGAATTGTTAAATGTTGATGAAGATAGGGAGGCTGTGATTTCGTGTATTGGGCAAGGAGGAATAACATCTTGTAGGAGTGAGGAAGAGCCAGTTGTGAGTGTGGGGGGAGGTTCGTGAGGCAGTGGGTAGAATGAAAGCAGGTAAGGCAGCTGGGATTGATGGGATAAAGATAGAAATGTTAAAAGCAGAAGGGGATATAGTTTTGGAGTGGTTGTTGCTATTATTTAATAAATGTATGGAAGAGGATAAGGTACCTTGGGATTGGCAGAGAGCATGCATAGTTCCTTTGTATAAAGGCAAAGGGGATAAAAGAGAGTGTAAAAATTATAAAGGAATAAGTCTGTTGAGTATATCTGGTAAAGTGTATGGTAGAGTTATTATTGAAAGAATTAAGAGTAAGACAGAGTAGGATAGCAGACGAACAAGGAGGCTTTAGGAAAGGTAGGGGGTGTGTAGACCAAGTGTTTACAGTGAAACATATAGGTGAACAGTATTTAGATAAGAGTAAAGAGGTTTTTGTGGCATTATGGATTTAGAAGAGGCGTATGACAGGGT